TTTCTCACCTGCCTAGCTAAGGTATGTTGTGACTCTGCAAAAAGTCTGTAAGTAGATCAGTGATTAATGGTTATATGATAATGATGTCATGAGCCCCAACATTTATTTTTTTACTGTTAATCAGACAATTTAAGGACCTGACTTTTAGCCTGGTAACTTTCACTGGCCAGTTTATTATTATATAATATTATTATATTATTATTATTTTTGACTGTGTGGCAACAGTACAATGAAAACATAATCAATGCACTGATCAATAGAAAATAATCATTAGTTGCAACTCAGTGTAAAATATTAATTTCAAATTGTGCTGCCTACTGGTTGAAGCTGCATCTTGTGTTCCATTAAATGTAGGTCGTAATTCACCTGGTTTAACCATCAGGTCTTTATAATGGACCACAGTAGACCGGAGAGTGCCTGATGCATTCAGTCCAAGAAGCCGTGCACATATTCATGGATTTAGCATCCCACTTAGTGGTGGTAATGAGGGTCAGTTATTAGAAATTCAATGAAAAAACAGATCATCATGCCCTCGTTGTTATACATTAAGATGCACATATGCATTTCACTCAGACGCCATCATCCCAGATTGTACTGTGGAAGTCAGTTTGGGGGGGCACAATGAACTTGTCCTCGAATCCATAGAAACAGACCTTCATTACCATCACTAAATGAAAGACTGAATCCAGGAATATGCTCTTCTTTTTTTTTCTTACACTGAGTCCGTTGTGCACCCTCCACTCCATTTTGATCCATTGTGCAGGTTTTCATGAATTATGAGAGCTTCAAGTAGAACAAAATATACAATGAGGACCCAGAGCTGCAACCTATAAATAGCATTGAATGTGGGGTCTTGAACACATATTCATCAGTGACAAAAATGTACTTAAAAGGGTTGGTTAGTTTTGCATTTCATAACTTAAACACAAAGCAAAAAAAAAAAAAAAACATTTTCAAAAGATGAATCCCGTTTCTAACTGCTAAAGAAGTCCATGTGAGGAATTGCATGTGAACTGAGCTGAGAGATAACTAGAGAAGTGTTTTGATTAAGGCTGCTCTGATCTGATAAAAATGGAGTCCTGCTCTGCACTATCATCACTTGCTTGCATATATTATTTGCAGTTCTAGTTGAAAAATTGCCATTTATTGTAGAAGACGAGCAGCCGCAGAAAGGAAGGGAGCACCAACACTTAACAGATTCAGAGAACGTAAAAATAAATTAGAATCTCATCACAACTCTTTTCTTAGTTTTCATATCTTCCAAATACACTCTACCTAACACTGATCTGCTGCATTCACGGTGTCTATTTTAACTGCATGAGCTTCCTTGTAATAAAACTCCAAGTTAAATTGTGAGCAGTGCAGTTATGCAGTTTCTGAATGGGCCTGTCACTTGTGATGCATTGTGGGGAAACTGTCAGCTCGGGCTAGTTATTTCTATTATTGTACATCTGTCACTGAAAGATGACACATGCTTCAGTCGGTGGAAGAGTCCCATCGGATCACAGCCATCAGCAGTGTTGGCTTGGCGACAGCATCGGTGTCGTACCCGGCTGTCTTGACTGTAGGTGGAGGTATTATTCGGAACATTTCATGCCACAGGTATTGCTTAGAAATGTGCCTCTTTCATGTGACTGCGTAATTACCTGCACTTGTTTGCAGACTCAGAGCTGACTGGTTGTCAGCTCACAATCTGATACTGTTGGCAAGCCACAGTTGATGGGTCATAACACTAGCAATACTTTGAAGAGACTGACAGTAGAACCCTGTCCCTATTTATCTCTAGCTGCGTGATTTGTGCAAAATCAGAATCTTACAAAGATAAGTCAGCTGTTTTGCAAGCAGTTCTTTCTCCATGTTAAACTAATCCCTTGATGAAGCTATCTCTATTAACATAAAGACTAAATGTGACCTTTCTGGAACTCACATTCTCCAATCCCTTTGTTGGCCACAAAGCTTAATCAAGAAAAAAATCTGTCTGTGGAGTATCAAACAGCTTGTAACTGTATCCTTCATTAAAGAATCCCTTTTAAACATCCTCAGAGAAACTGACTGTGCTTATCTATCTAGCCAGGAATAAGCTCATGTTTAGAGTGTAAATGCATGTAATTGTGTCATCTTTCATATAAGGTACTGAAACAAAAACAGCTGAGTTATTATTATTAGTTATTTCAATCACTTCTTTGGCACTAACCATGGAACTTCCACCCAGCTGCACCAAGCACTACCCACCGGTAACTGTTTGGGTGAGAAAGGTGCAAGATCAGACAGAAATCAAACATCACATTCCTAAAGATTTCAAAGATGGTGTGTGCTTGTGTTTTTTCCAGGCTGTGCTGCTGTGACTCAGACTCTGCTGCGTAATACAGTGCACAGTATACAGTAGGGCTTGTGTATAGGAAGACAAGTTCTACTGATGGTGCCAAAAGCAAAAGGGTGTGCGACAATAAGTTAAAGCAATGAACACATTGTAAATACAGTGGCTAAAATACATTGTTCTGCAGTGCACCGCTCTGCTTCCCTGCAAGGACTCACATAATGTGTGATAGTCTCTAGACTGCCCTGCCTAGGTATGACACCATATCAGAAATGTAGTAGTGGATACTAGTACCAGTGGAATTTCACAGTTCTCTATACCAATTCAATACCACGGTCAAAAACAAAAACAAAGCAATACATCTATTTAACTTACAAACTACTTTAATCTGCTCCCCTTGCTTTTCCATTCAGTACTCCACACACACCTACTGTGGTCTGTGTCTCTCTCCTCACATACACACACACAGGTACCGGTGCCCCGCCCCTCTCTCTCTCTCTCTCTCTCTCTGTTCACTTTCTTCAGCACTAACTTTTAGAAAGTCAGCCAGAAAACACAACTTGCGTTTGAGATGTTTTGACCCGTGATTCTGTTTTAACAACAGCAGGAGAGGCGTGTGTGGATGAGTCTCGTTAATGAGCCAATCAAATCGATCAACAACAGTGTGGTAACCAATGACATCGGCACCAGCTGATGTGTTCACTGCTGTTCACTGTTGCTTTATCTGGTCCGTGCTGGTAAAATAAACACTGTATCTGCGCTTCTCTGTGGAGCGGTGCAACAGGACTGTACAGGAGGTTCTCCGTCACGTCTGGAAGAATTGATTCCCCGGTACCTGCAGTACTCACAGTACTGTAGAACAACAGGTACAGTCACATTTTCAGAACTTTGCCATCGATTGGTACTGAAGTATTGGTTCTCCATCCCTATGCTAGAAGGACAATTGTAGTAAATATTTCAATATTTAGGGAGAGAGTGAGCCATCAAGTATCACCCGTCTATCTAAGAGAGCCTGCCATCCCTCCCCATCTCTTCCTAATCTTGCCCCCGGCTTCTCACTCTCCACTTAACGCCACCTATACAGACAAGTGTCATCTAGCCAGCCTCTAATAGCCCACCCTTCACAATGTGGTTCACATGGTCCCTAAATTAATACTGACACAACCTTTTCTTGTCGTCATGTCAACCTAATCGGACTCATGTCCTGACTTCAAGTGACAAAATAAAAACAGATCAACACAAATAATGCTTAGAAAGACTAATCATTCCCCTCAAATATATAGTACATATACGTAATTGGGCACTTACGTTGCCTGCTTTTCAAAGCCCCTTGGCTTCTCTGTGTTAATTTTAGTGTGTGTCTTAAGATTCCCATCTGACTCACCTTTAGAGGAGCAAATTAGAAAATGAGCCTGACAGGTGCTTGTTTTCATTCCAGGTGATATCACTCATCAGGCAGGATCCGCTGAGTGAGCAGACGACGTTTGGTGTCTAATTTAGTTCTCTGTAGGCAGAAAGGAAGGGCTTTTTAATGAATTGTGATAGCACAGAGACGATTAGCATGCATGGAATTAACTTCATATGGCTTGAGTGTAATCAGTCTTGTTTACTTTTTTTGTTGTTGTTGTTGTCTTTGATTAAAGTGCAAGCCTCTCAATATGGGCTTTGTTTCCCATATTTTGTGTTTTTCACACCATTAGTCCAACTACCAGTGTTGGTAAAGTGGGAGGAGCCATTCCGACTAATGATGCAGATGTACCCACCTGTTGCTTACTTTGAAGCCACCTTTAGTACAGTTTGATATTGGAAGCATCCTGTTTTGCTTGTGCCATAACAGTTGAAAAGAAAGTAATTATATAAATGCTGCTTTGTAGCTCTCCTATAGCTTTCAGGTTCAGTGTAAATATCAAGTTAAAACTGTTGATTTCGTTTATGGCAATTATGAGTCAGAGCAAGGAGATGAGACACGCAACCAAAGGCCTCTGCCCCTGCTGCCACATTAACATTCTGATTCAGAGTGCCTTAGACTGCTGCAGTGTTATAAGATTGTTGCTCTGCCTCTCTGCATCAAACTCATTTCACTTATATCAAACCGATACTGATGTATTTATTTGCCACATAGCTTGCCTCATTAATTTTGTAACGAGTCAAACATTTGCAGTGGGCCCTATGGGTTCATTACGACAAACACTATGAAATTGTTGGGATAATAAACAGCATATTGACAATTTTGTCACTATTAGAGCTTTAACAGAATTTACAGCTAAAATTGTGTAAATAAAACTGTATATAATTTACAGTCTGGGGAGCATGAATCTCTTAGTTAAATTCATTGCAGTATGTACATTAAATCTTTATATTTCTTGTGTGAAAGTGGAGGTGATATAAGAAAGGTCAAAGGGAGGGTCACCAAAAACATTATAAATCATCCTGTGGGGATTGTGGATGAATATATGGGTCAATGACGTATAAGGATTTTCAACAGGCCAAATTTAAAATACAAAAAATCAGCATATCTATATCGCAATTGTTCAAACATTAGGAATGTTGTGCACACAGAAATTACAATTAAAAATGAAAATATATATACATATAAAGTTAAATACAAAGTAGTATTAACTAGTAGTAGTATTTTGGGGGGTAAATGGGTTGGTAACAGTTGTGTATTTGTGTGTTTCACCAGGTATGGCTGCTGCCGGTGCTGGAGGCAGTGAAGGTTTCCCCACTCATAGAGAAGGTCAGCGACCACAAAGACTTCAAGAAGCTGCTCAGGACGAGAACCAACGTTCTGGTGCTTTACACCAAGACAGGTTAGAGAACACACCCCTCATAATGGATATTTTTTAAATCAGGTTGTAGATTTTACCAGAATATACACCTGGTGAAAGGGGAGGATGTTGTTGCTGTCAGAGATGTATCTTGGTCTCAGATGTAGCAGCAAAAGTTTCTGGTTAAGTATCCATTGTTCACAGCAGTCCTGCCAGGCAATCATAGTAACGGCTTATGGATAATGCTTGTATTATCTCAGTCAGCTTGTCACTGTAGAGATCATTGTGGAGCACTGAAAAACCCAATTTTTAAAAATCTGATATAGATATTTCATAGACACACAATGTGCAAGGAAAAATATACCTTTTAACTAAACATTTGATGGTATTTTATTCTTAGAATTGTATACTACTACATACTTTAATCTCATGAAGAGCTAGGTATGCTTTTAGTGCTGATATCATTAGTACTTGTACAAGTGCATAATTACATAAATCATTTCATTATAGTCAGAGAAGGTTAGTGTTAAAGTTAGTCAGTTATCGGCTAAGGTATTTAAAAAATATATTTAATAAATGTGTGACAACAAAAGAGGATGCACAAAAGACCTAAATCTGGAACCTTTTGATTGTTGCATCACACATTGTATTGCTCCAACATCCTAACTTAGAGAACTGAAACTATATCAAGTTACAGATGTAAGATTTGCTTAATTTGTGAGTACAGGCACGAGTATCCCAACAGTTCTGACAGTGTGCACATAAACACTATGGGCACCTTGTGTAAGAAAACTTTAGAGCCATGCGTTTGTGCAGTAATGTCTTCATTGGTATGTCAACATTTTAGCTTTAATTATTGACTATTCTGTAATTGTGCACCATTAAAGTACCAAATGAATTCATATTCCTTTGGTCATCCTCTGTAATAAGCAAGCGCCATCGTACAGTGGCACTTCAGCCAAATCCAATGTCATTTAGTAATAAACATTTTAATGCAGTATCTAAAGATATGTTTAGAATGAATGTTTTGTGCAGCTTTAGCCCTTATCCTACTTCAAAGGGATGATCACGGTGGTCTATCTCAGTAATGAACTTGGAAATACTTATAGAATTAGAGTGTAAAAATAAATTAAATATAAAATAAAACACTGTATGCAGTCAAAGAGAGTTATAAAGCAGTGCTTTCTTCCAACCATTAGGGAAGCCCTAATGCACCCCAGAAGATTTTAATTCTGTTTTCATTAGCATGTTTCTGTGAAGGGGAGGAAGGCGCACTCTACAGGCTTGTAGAATGAGCTGCTTGATATTACTAATTTTTCCATTCAAAAGACCCCCCTACTCCTCAATAAGCATCAGAGGACTCTCAGAGCCCCATAGCCACAGATTTATTTGTTTCATAATTCATGGCCCATATGAGCCTGCAGAAGGGTTGGATATGTCTTGAGCAGTGATTGATCACTGGCAGCAGTGTCACACAGACTCTGTAAAGACACCAAAGGATCCCCTCCTCATGCAGGTTTAATGTCCTTTTTACTAACCAATTACTGTATCACTTCTAACCACATCACATTTGGTCCCCTTGTTGAGTGAAGACAGTCTTTCCCTGTTCCTTACTCATCCTCACCAGCCCCTGGCCCCCTGCAGTCAGCCACATCCCTGGTTAGAGCCCATCAAACTTCAACAATGAGCGTATTAGACAATCTACCAGCCAATATCTGCTAGCCTCCCGCTCCATACATGGTAATAAACTGACAATAAATTGTCAGATGTTTTTGTTACCAACCTGGTGCGAGGCGGGACCCTGGGGAGTCATGGCAGTGCCCCTTAATCTAAATATAGCCTTGGCCTGGAGCGTTGAGAAGAATCGTTCTCCTTATGCAGTGAATAAAACACATTTGGTTTCTGGGGGAGTATAAAAATGATATATTGTGTTACACAAGGACTAGAATATTACAGTTCGTTTACTTTACTCGCAGGAATCTACTTTGGTTGCCATATCTGATGAAGATCAGTAATATTACAGTGTGTATTGTTGTAGCTGGTACAGTTTATTACACACTAGTTTGTCCTCTCTCCTAACACAGAAAACAAACCTCGCAGTTCAGCCATATTTCCTCTCTGACACTGTAGATTGTGAAAGTCTCTAGTGGTCACGAACTCTCCATGTCGTCCTTGAATGGGCTCACACTTGATGTTCATCATGGCTTAGACTATGGTAGTAAACAGCATGCAGCAGGTACAAACTGTAGTTCACCAAAACATACCTGCTGTGCTTCCCCCATTTTGCTGAAAAGTTGGTCTGCTTCAGCAGAGTCTTTGTGTCACCATATAATCCTCCCATCCCCTGCTTAGTCACACTATTGTAAGATGTTGAAAGCTGATGTAACCTAAACCCGCTCCCTGAACCCATCCAGTGAAAGGTATTTGAAAACCCTCTTCCATCACCCCTCCATCCCAAACTCAGTGATCTCTTTCTTCAGCACTTGGTACTTTAGTAAGACACCGAGCTCCACAGTAACTCAATTCCTCTCCGCGGTGTTTAACATGACAGTGTCCTCTGTGTCTTTAGGCTCTGGGTTATCCTGAGCTATTGAACGGTGTTGGTAACAAGTCTGACCATGGTTCATTCTCTGTGTCTGTAGCTACATCAGGGGACTCCCACCTGAAACTGCTATCAGATGTGGCCCAGACAGTAAAGGGCCAAGGGACTATTGCCTGGGTCAACTGTGGGTAAGTAATGGGGAGATTTTTAAAAAACACATTGTAGGACTTCTTTTCCCTCGATCACATCCATTGACTCCCTGTCTCTTCTGACATTACGGCCTCTTTTGTCCAAGGAATTTTCTGACAGCAGTTATAAAGGCAGAGCAATTTTGTCCTCTCAAGAATGTCCCTGCTGCCATCCATCTGCACAATTTATGGTTTTACCACCGGTGTATAAAGGGCCTTGTTCCACTGGTTCTATTGTACAGGCACAATTTGACAGAAGGCGACTCACTTATTGGAGCTATTAAGGCTTTTGGTCTAATGTGTTACATCTCTTTATACTGTTTTAGTTCTCCATTTTCTGGGTTTTCATTGTGTACATTTTATCCTAAAATAGTAAATCAATAATAATGAGGGCACGTACTTAATCCTGTGTTGTAATTGACAAATGGTTTCAGTCATGTATGTAGTATTGAAATAATTTGTCAGTCAATCTGTCTGTAGATTTCAGGGCTGGTGTACCATTTCAAGATTTTTAAAGCAGTGCCAATACAATACCATTGTTGTACCAGCATCAGAACAATGTTTATTTTTTTTTCGATACCTTGCTTTAAGAAGTGTAAACATGCTTTCTTCATTTAAAAGTAGAAACACACACACACAAGAAGCTGTAGTGTAACACAGCCTAAATAAACACATTCTAAGACTATGGATTTGACCAGACTTATTGCCAACTTTAGGTACTTGACACATGAGCGGAAACCATTTATTTGACAGACAGCTATTGATAATCTATCAATCATTTAAGTCCCAGCCACACTTTCTCTAGTTCCAGCTTAAATCAACCATATATTCTATTTAATATACTATAATATTGATGAAACAAGCAATTTGAAACTGTCTGACATTTTATATCAGTTAATAGATAATGAAAATATGAATTAATAGCAGTCGTGTTTGACCCAGTTATCGACACTTGGTGCTATAGACACCATTTGGTCAGTACCAAAATTGTATTGAGGTTTATTTTTTCCTGTTTTATATTTATATATCATTGTAAATTAAATATTTGGGGGACGTTTGCCTGGACAAAACAAGCTATTAGAAGATAACCTTTAGCTCTCAGAAATTCTGATGCATATTTTCCCTGTTTTTTTTTTTAACATATTATTGACAAAAAAAATAACAACCAACATACATTCAGTGAAATTAAAACAATAATCATTAGTCGCAGCCCATACTCATACTATACTATACAAATACTCGTTTATTATTATTATTTTCATACTGTGTACTCTCTTTCCCCATAAAGGCAGAACTGTACATATGTCATCTGCCTCTCTGGAGCACATCCATCTCCAGCCCACACTGTGGAAGTGTTTACATTAACTGAATGCTATCTAATCCCCAGACACCAGCAAGGATTGTTTTCTCTAAGCACAGCTAGCTTAGCTCCCCAGTGATCTGACTTTGCCTTGTTGTTCTTTCTGCCCTTCCTGGTGCTCAGTTCCACTTACTTTATTTCATTTTTTTGTACCTGTCAACCCATCAACTGCATGAGCCGTCTTCTTCACCAGAGAGGAAAGAAAGTATCATAAAACAGGAAACCGTGAGGAAGGCAGTAACTCCCCTTTGATACCTAGTGCTCATTGTAGCATTCACAATCTCTCTCAAGCTTATCCGGGATCGAAGACCAGGCGGACGGAAAGGAAGAGAAACTAAGCTCAAAAATGTCTGAAGGGATTGCCAGAACTGTTGCTGTCCACGTTTCTCTTCAAAGACTCTCCATGATACATGTCCTTTTTTGCCGTTTACTTTTTGACTCTGTTACCTTTTTTGTCTGGGAGAGTAGGGTATCATCTCCTTCTTCCTTCTCCAACAACTCCAGAATGCTAGAGAGCGCGCTAATGCTAAGCAGAGATTTATAGTGTGCCAGATTCCTGCCAGGGGAGCTAGAGCGAGCTGGGTTCATCACTGCAGGACACATGGATCCAGTGCCAGGCTCTGTAGCGAAGCATTGTGCTATTTGGCATATTTCTCCACCATCTCAAATGGGCCGGTTCCAAATCGAAGCCCCAGCTGCGAGCTCATGGTGGACAGAGGGGGAGAGAGAGTAGAGCGCATATCGCAGCGTGAGAACGGTCAGCCCTGCCAAGGAAGAGGGCCACCAAGGCCAGAATGACACACTTTGAACAGATGACAGGGACCTGTGTGTTGGCCAACAGGGATCCGCCAGAGGGATGGATGATCTCATACAGGAAGGGAGTACAGGACTGTGCTGCCCTGCTCCCATTCTTCTGGAAAATTAGAACAGACCTATAACATGTTAAGAATGAAACATGGTCTTGTCTGGATCAATGGGAATAGCAGAGCACAAACAAGCACAGCATGGATTAGGATTTGTGTTTTGGAAGAGTAATAATTAAATGGCATGCAGTGCTTCATCCTCTTTGCATGATGAATCCATTATTAATCCTTTACGAAAAGGACTCTGTTGACTTGGCCTAATGCAAAGTTTTGGCTCCAACTTTTTAAAAATGTTGATGATTCCTCAATTTTTAAAGGTGCACCTCACTCAACCACGTTGTTGGGTTAATTATTTTTAGTTTGGTTCATCACCTGAATAATCAGGGTTCGAGTAATAATCTGAGCTTTGAATGGGGTCTCTAAAATAAGCAATGTTAGGGGCAGAGATAAATTAATAATAGTCTAACAGGTATGCTTTCCATGTGAGAGAGAGAGGGAGACCGCTCATTACCTAGTCCAACACTTTCTCACACATACACACACACACATACACACACACATACACACACATAGCAGTCCACTACTTGCAACAATTGTATCAAGTAGATTGCAACAACCTGAAACTCCCCTGTGATGTTGCAACAAGGTTTCAACTCAGACCAATTACTGTAAGAGAGATCGCAAATCTGCCCTTTTTGGTATCATATGAAAGTAGGTGTTATCATTCCAGGAGCACAGTACCCTATCCTGTGTAACACACCACTAGTGCAAGTTGTTAATTAGGAAAGCAAGTTGTTCAATACAGAAAGAAATGATACTAATTACATTGAAAATTCCATTATTTGTGATTAAAATAATGGTTGTTGGTAATAGGGATGTATGTTTTTACTGCTGTCATGGGAGCCCCATATACCCTGCAAATAATGTCACAAAAGATGGAAAAGTAATAAACAAATAATCCTGAACAAAGAACAAGTTTTGTTTGTTCATTAAGTGAATCAAACAGCATGTAAACTTAAGTGCTGACAAACATACGATGCTGTATGAACCCAAGGCATACAACGCTACACTGTAGGTGATGAACCTCTTGGAGCCAAAGGAGTCAGAAGTTGTACTTTTTATTTGAGAGAAAAATGCAGAAGATGTTTTTCATCAGAACAAACATGGTTAATATGGGCCAGTTTAGTGAGTGCAGACTCTTCTACTTTTGTTCTCTGCCATCATTTCCCTGTCTTCTCTGAACATTGTGTCTTAATCTTAACAACACATGATTGGACAAACGTTTTTCTTGGCATCTACTGTAGTGTTGCAGTTCATCTCCTCGCCACATCTGTTTGTCAGCACCTTATAACTTCTCATCAGCCGTCAGCCGGTCCACTCATACCTTCTTACTTCACAGCCATAGACTTCCTGCTCACTGCAGCGTGAGAGCTTTGGTGCTGACGCATCAACTGATGTTACCTTAGAGATGAATGCGCAGCAGTCGTGCTCATCCGGTGGACGGGCCTCTGATGAAATGCCATTCATGGCCTTTGTTCTTTCTGTACTGAACATTAGGTAGTGAGTCATTCTAACTTCACTGGGCATCCATTTGTTCTGTGATTGAAGAGTACTGCTGTTTCATTGGTTGTTTCACAAAAACTGGGTTCAGAACCATAATGGCATGCAGTTTTTTTCCCCCTGAGTCAGTTTTACTGAATATTTTTGACCAAATGAGTAAGAGTCTGAAAGCCCACATCCATTGTTGTACTGGTCCATATTCAGGTGTGTGGCCTATTCACATTCTTTCAGAAAATACCAATGAACAATTCCTGGTGGCATTTCATGCCAGCACTTCACAGCTCTGTTCAGTGTTACTGCCAATTACTAAAACATTTGTATTGTAAAAGTGTGTGTGAACATTTTGACTGTATTTTTTTATATGTGTCTTGTATAAAAAGTTAGAGTTTGAGTCGTTTAAGAGAGTAAGATGAGTATTTATTTATTGTAATTGTATTGTACAATACAGTTAAGTTGGCAGCAGTCTGTGAGTAGATGCATATAAAAGTAAAATCAGACGTGGGTTAATAATAGAAAAACGTAAATAGTGGAAAGATCTACACATTTTCCCAGAATTCAAGGTGATGTCTTCAAAGTGCTTGTCTTTTAATTTACAATAGGGATGCACCGATTAATAGGCTGAACATTGGTATTGGCCGATACTCACCTGATATTCACCTTGTTGACTGACATTGGCCTAAAGGAAAATGACATGACATTCACTGATGGCAGTGGCCGGTGTTTATCTTTTGTGTTGCATCAGTTTTGCACTTTTCAACTTGGATATTGGAGAAATAATCTCCTCTGCTTTTCAGCACCGGCACAAATTGCACACAAATACCAATATGCTCCATGCACCACCATGGACAGCGAGCGGCTCATGTTCAGCTCTGCATCTTGGATGTGAAGAGAAATAAACTGAGCTACAACAAGGCAGAGATGCTTATCTTTGTAGCCTCTCTGGCACAAAAAGGCAGATAAATAACAAAAAAACCTCTGCATCAGTGATGGGCCAAATTTGTATTGTAAACATCTGTATTGGCCCAGGTTTTCAAAATCGGTGCATCCCTAATTTACAGTTATATGAAACAGAGAAAAGCTGCAATTCCTCATATTTGAGAAGCTGGAAACAGAAAATGATCCCATATGTCATGATAAATTATTAAAAAGAGAAGTGAGAAGTGAATACTAATATTTGGCAAGTGCCCATGATGGTCATGTGGCATGTACAGTATGCATAAGGAGAGACTTTAAAACTGTGCAAAGGCAGAGAAGATTCCCTCTGCAGCCAGCCAGTGCATTGTTGCCTCAAGGTCATCTCTCTTCAGCATTGGTTTCACTCAAATTACTTAACACAGTTATGCAAGGTCGTACTACATGACATCTAACAACAAAACTCGTTTTGAAAATAATTTCTTGAAATAAAGTCTCCTTGAATGAGGGTCCCTTGTCTACTTTTTACTGGTTTGGGGTTTCCTTGCCTTTGTCACTTGTGGCAGTGTTTCAAGGAGTTAGAGGCAGCAGACTGGTTTTGAATCGGATGACTGCGCATCATCTCCAGATACGTGTCGAGGTCACATCTGCTCCTGGTGTGCCCTCGACTGGTGCCATCTGCCTTAATGAGTCAGCAGAATATGGCATTAAGCACACAGGAATTACCTGAAATACTGTCTGTCAACACACAGGCACACAGATTTACTTTTCCTCTTTATATAATTCAAAACCACACTGAACATATATTTGGCTCGCTGTGGGTTCTGGAGCCATAATTGAATTCCACCTTTTTGAATTTGTTAGCATCAGACCCTCTCTCTAGCAGAGATCTCTCTCTCTCTCTCTC